ATTTTTACAGTTGCTTTACGTACAACAATAACAGGTGTATGGTTAGGATTTTTCACATTTAATGCTTTCATCTTTTGTATGGTTATGATTCCTCATATTTAATGCTTTCACGTATATATATGGCAAGTATTTGACTGCTGCACGTACAACAGCTGCAGAAATATAAACCCATACATACATACATATATATATATGTATATAATTTAGTAACTTATTTTCATATATGTATTTGATTTATTTTTTATCTGGCAACTTGTTCTTACACCATTATAAGAATAAAAGTCTTATACTCAATTTTAATCATTGATCTACGTGCATCCGATGATGCTAATTTATTGAGTTACATATTAATTAATTATTAATCTAAAACAAATTACAATCGTTAAATATATAAAATCAAAGGTTAAAATCAAGTGTTAAATTTTTTATTCTTATACTGATATAAAATAATCTTATCCTTTTTTTATATTATTATAACTTTTTGCTATGAAAATAAAAAATTAATGAGTTTAATTTGAGCTTAACTCATAGGGCTTGAATAATAGTTAGAGTGAGTGAAGCTTGAGTAAAAAAATGAACTTACTTCTTTAACTAGGTTGATTTCATTCTTATGAAATTAAGATTGAATTAAATCTCACTCTACTTATGACCTGTTTGGATGAGCTTTTTAAAAAATGATTTTTTATGTCTTGTTTATTTTAGAAGAACTTTTTTCAAAGGATAAAGCTATTTTGCATTTGTACATAGTACATGAAAAATATTTTTAACTAAATATATTGTTTGGATATTAAAGTTACAAAGTACTTGTCACCTATAAAATTACTAAAAAGGACACTTAAAAATAAATGGTTAGGTTATATTTACAAATTTTTTGTTTATAAATTCTCATAAATTATACTATATATTCCGAGAAATACACACTTAAGTGTTTGTATCCCTGGAGTACATAGTATAGTTTGTAAATAAAAAATTTGTAAATATATATAACCATGCTAAAAATCAAATCATAGGAGCAAATTATTGGAAATCGACAATCACACAAATCACAAACGAAAAGAGAAAGAGAGAGAATAGACACAGAGATTTACCCTGGTTTACCCAATTTAGGCTACATCCAGCTTGTCTGTACTATATTCACATCACCGTCACTCGTTACAAGTCACTCGGTTTACAAGGAAAATATAAATAGGATTAGAAAACCCTAACTGTAGCTATTCATGGCAAACCCCAAACTACTAAGAAAAGTACAATAAATCAGAGGCTCACAACAGTACCAAGCCTTTATGCTGACCCCGACTGTAAGAATCTGCATCGTTAATTAAGGAAATTAATTAATTAATTATATGAAATTAGGAAAAGATTCCATAATTGACCCTAATAATTATTATGAGACTTAAATAAATATAGTAAGTGATTAATAATGCTGAAAGTCGCTTTCCTGACGAAAAGTGCAGATACCGGTTCTGCTACTCGATATAAATGTGTACCGATAAAGTATCCCGGAAAATTTTAATAAGTATAGGAATATTTCTAGAATAATATCTAGGACTGTGATTTCAAGTTTCAAGTTAAAATAATGAGAACTGGTGCCAGAACTGATACTGGCTATGGAAAAGTGCGTACCGGAAAGGTGCTGCAAAAAATAAAATAAAAATATGATAAATCTTAGAAAAATGAGTAGGTTCAGATTTCAAATTTTGGGCTTAAAATGCTAAGCGTAGCTTTTTGCGCTAATACAGTGGGATTATCCTTAAACTGCCTATATATATTAAATGGCACAGATTTTTAAGGCATTTTTCAGCCTCCTACGTGCCTCCATTTTGAGTTTTCCACTTTCATGCTGGTCACCTTATTTCCTTGAGAGAAAAACCAACAAAACTCCTCCTTTCTTGTGGATTCCCTTCTCCTTTGATGAGTAAACACTTGGGTGTGTGATTGAGAGGGTTAAGGGTACTTCTTGCTGGGTTGAGGTTGCTGTGAGAGGGGTTGTTGTTGCTGCCTCTAAGTTTGGTGAGTGTGTACACCTTTGGCTTGGCATTTGTGGTGCCAATGAGTCATCTTTTGTGCAAAGAATCAACCTTTGGTGTGCCATTTTTGTAACCTTGTGAAGTCAGTGTTGTGTGGCTGATTGGTGAGCTCCAAGAGCATCATCCACCTCTATTTTGAGCTTGGGGTATGATCACCACCTTTTTTCTTGAGTTTCTTTAGTTAAAAATGGAAACTTGATGCATATAATGAACTAAAATTAATAACTTGAGGTTTGGTAAGCTTAAAAACACCTAGAAATGCATGTTTAAGTCTCTGTAATCTTGAAAAGAACCACCTTTGGGAAGGATATCTCACGAAATGCAGAACTGCATTCTGTCGTGAAATATCCGGATATGATATCCAGATATTGATATCCGGATATGATATCTGGATATTGTATCCGGATATGGCCCCGACAAATATCCAGATATTCTGGGTTTTCGAGGAACAGTAACGGTACTGTTCATACAGAACTGAGTTATGAGTTTGTGGACCCTAGATTGTGGAAGTTGAACTTCTGTAATGATTAAGTTAAGTCAGAATCAAGGGATTAAGGGCTTGTGGCTTTGTGAGAAGCCTTAAGACTTAGAACGCAAAGGAAATGCGTTGTCCTTATATCGTATGCTTGTAGCGTATAAATATTGATGTTGTTATTGGTCCTAACAGATTGTGATTGTGCTGTGTGTGGACCTTGAGCTTGTGTGGACTCTTGGCTTGGATAGCTAGCTTGCAAGGTAAGCTTTCGTGTCCTCAGCTTAGCCATTGTTTGTTCCACCATGTCCCATAGGGGAATGGTTTATATGCATGATGTGTTTACATGCTTTGATAATTGAAAATGTTGTGGAGATTTACGTGCAAGGGCTTTTAATATGTATGTGTTGTTCCACTTTAACGGTTAGCCTGAGTATGTGGCGTCATACAAGACGGTGACACCGTGGGTGGGTGCAAGTGACGTCTTGCACTAGTGTGGGTAATAGACGTATTCCTGCATTTCTCTGGCCAGTAGATTAGTATTGACATACATGACATGATTATCTGCTGCATTGCACTATTTTGGAACTTATACTGTTAAACTGTTTTTGAACTTATATTGCACATGTAAGTGAGCTTGGGGTGGAAGATCCTTGAGGACCCCTTGCCTTACTGAGATTTCTGTCTAGAGATCTCACCCCACGTTGGGGCGCTTATTTCAGGTTCAGGTAACCCAGGGGCCGAGACCTCTAGCGGCAGGAGGCCGGAGCTTAGTTGATTTCCATGTTTGCTGTTTATGCTGATGCACCTGCTTGGTTTTATGCTTTTATCATTACCATGTTGTTTGTATTGAGACTTGACGAATATGCTGTTTATTTGGTGAGCATGGGGATTGTTCATGCCACATTGATTTGACGATGTTTAAGTTTATTTGAGTTGTACAAACTATCAGGATCTGTTCGGTCTACGTGTTGTAGTTCCGTGACTAGAGACCCACTTTTAGTTATTTAATTTATGAGATTTTTCAGTTAGCTGTCTTTTGCAATTTACATATAGACAATGTTTTGAAATGAGTTAAGTAATTCAACTTGGTAAGGATAATGACGTCATAATTGAAAGGAAAAAGATATTTCGCATTTTTAATTAAGCGTGGCTTAATACGAAGACATGTTAATAAACCGGGTATACACAAGGTGTTACACCGACAACTAGGGCCCTCATCAACATGCGAAGTATGAACCATACCTAACAAATTTGTCGTGGCGGAGGCAGCGGCGACGATGGTAGGGTGGTGGCGACAATGATGGTGGTATAAGTGGTAGTAGGGTGATTGAAAGTGGTGGAGCTGGTGGCAACGACAAAGATATGGAGGTGGTGATGATGACAATACAGGAGGTGGCGATGACGACAGAGGTGAGATTGGTTGGGGTTATAGTGGTGGCGACGGTGACAATAATGACGAGTGAAGTGAGATTGGTTGAGTTGGGGCAGGGTGGGTTGGGGCAAATTTAGATTCTAAAAAATTATTTGATTTTTGACTTTTATTTTTTTTTAAAGTTAAAATTTTTAGCTTAACAAATGTAGTTTTTAGAGAAAAAAAAACTATTTTTTGAAAAAAAGCTAGAAAAAAATTTTCATTCTAACGAACTCTTAGTTCAGCTTACATTCCAACGTGGATCCAGCAAAGACTTTTTTTGTTTTACTTGCTATTTACAGTTTACATCACATCGAGGATCATTTAACAACCTGTTTGCTCCATTTTTTAGTCACTATTTACGCCTTTCAGCATAAATCCTAGGAGCTTTTGAAGGTAAGAGATTTTTTCTCCTTTTCCTGAACGTAAATGAAAAACAAACATTGGCTCAGTGAATCCTAGTTCCGAACACTGAAAACTAAGCCTAACTTGAAAACATTTCATCAAATTATTTAGTTATGTTCTTCTTCATACTCTAAAAAAGAAGAAAATTGATGTTATTTGTACATTAATATGTTTACACCATATTGAGAAAAATATAGATAAAAAATGGTGTTTGGAATGCTTTTGTTTTTTTCCATTCAAAATAATGTATCAATAAAGTAAATAAAATAACATGTAAATAATATGATTAAAAAAGAAAATAAATATATTCCTACTGATAGATTAAAGGAAAATGGAGATGGACCCACATGATGAATATAATTAAAAACCGGTCCTAGCTATGCCATAAATACATGGTGACGTATCAATTGAAATTATGGCTATAACTTGGTAGTTCATTGTTGTGGAATCAATAGGTTTAAAATTCTACACTAGCAACAATATGAAAAGACAAAGGAATCACTCGATTTTCATATCTGCCATCCTATGCTTTCCATCAATATATTGCATATCCACAAAGCCAAAAAGGAGGAATATACCATAGAGATTTCAGCTTAGAAATGAAGGGTACCCTTGTAATGTTAGTCCACACATATAACACTGTTAAATTAGTTTATTGTCCCTTTTATGCCGCTGACCCTTCTTCTCTTCCTCCCATCTCTTTATTTACAAGTCCATGTCCCTTCTCTCTTTTCTCTCTCCTTATAGTTTTCTTCTTTTCTTGTGTGTGTGCATATATAAATAAGAGCAAAAGCTACTACAGTCTTTAGTGTATAATTACACTTACAAATGGGACGATCACCATGCTGTGACAAGGTTGGTTTGAAAAAAGGACCATGGACCCCTGAAGAAGATCAAAAGCTCTTAGCTTATATTGAAGAACATGGCCATGGAAGCTGGCGTGCTTTGCCTGCAAAAGCTGGTAATTTTTTTGTTTTTTTCTATATATTATATATGTTGTGAGAATAATGATATATAGTACTTAAAAATATGATATATTTGAAGTTTGTTTTACTTTGTTGTAAACTGAAAATTACTTGTGTTATTGTGTATATTTAGGACTTCAGAGGTGTGGCAAAAGCTGCAGACTTAGATGGACCAATTATCTTAGGCCTGATATTAAGAGAGGAAAGTTCAGTTTGCAAGAAGAACAAACCATCATTCAACTCCATGCCCTCTTAGGGAACAGGTTTTGCTAGCCTTATTATTAAGTCTTTTTTAGTTTTAGTCTTCAGGTTTTTGTGCTTGGAGATGTTTAAAGGGGTTCAATTATTTCATAGTTTTTCACATCATTTGTCTTCTCAGTACACAGGTATCAAATGTATTCAAAATTCAAAACCCATCAAGGATTATTATTTTTATTTGTTGAAATGTGAACAGTAGCATCTTTTCCCCTATAAAATATTTTTTCCATTTTTTTTTTGGAAGTTTATTACAAAAAACAAATGTAAAGATATAACTTCTTTTTCTTTTCCAATTTCCTTGTTGTGCAGTATGTATTAAATGCAATGGCCTCTCAATTTCTTCACCAAACTGTTTTAACCCCATCTCCAACAAATAATTTCAACTGTGATTTCTGCCATTCTGACATCCAAGTTTATTCAAGTTGAATCATTTAATTGCAGAAGGATATGATCCTCTGCCACAAAAAGCACTGTCCATGCATGTGATCATATCTAATCCTCTCATAAATAAAGTTTCATTTTCAACAAATATTAAAACTATTAACTAAAAACAAAAACAAAAAAAAGAAAAAATCTGAGTAGTTGATGGAATTTTCTAGGGTTTGCATTGGCTTTTGTGGTGTGTCATGTATCATGTTAATGTTGTCTTGTACTCAGGTGGTCGGCAATAGCTACACACTTGCCTAAGAGAACGGATAACGAGATAAAGAACTATTGGAACACACATCTTAAGAAAAGGTTAACCAAAATGGGGATTGATCCAGTGACTCACAAGCCTAAGAATGACGCACTTCTCTCTAGTGAAGGTCAATCAAAAACTGCTGCAAACCTTAGCCACATGGCTCAATGGGAAAGTGCTCGTCTTGAAGCTGAAGCAAGACTTGTTAGGGAATCAAAACTACGCTCACATTCACTACAACATCATCATCATCATCATCATCAACTTGGAAATTCTTCTGCTTTTGCATCTTCATCTTCTGCTTCAACTTCAGCTCCAATTCTGAACAATAATAATAATAAACAAGAGGCATCATCATCATCACATGTAGCCTTGCGTTCCCTTGATGTTCTTAAGGCTTGGAATGGAGGGTGGTTGAAATCTAATGAAGGAAATGGTGGCATTGCAAGTAATGACCTTGAGTCACCTACTTCTACCCTTTCTTTCTCCGAGAATAATGCACCACCAATTATGACTAGTGGATCAATTGGAGTAGGAGGAGGAGGAGGAGAAAATGCTGTGCCTATGATTGAGTTTGTGGGAACTTCAGGTTCCAATTCTGATGCAGGTGTTGTGAAAGAAGAAGGTGATCAACAAGAGTGGAAAGGTTATGAAAGTTCAACTCATTTGCAATTAGAATACAAAGATCATGGTATGGAAAATTCAATGAATTTTAGTTCTGGTTTGCATGAGTTGACAATGTCCATGGAAGGAACATGGGGTTCTGAGTCTCTTAGGACTAGTGGTTCACATGGAGATCCCATTGCTGAAGAAGGGTTTACTAATCTTCTGCTTAAAACAAACTCCGGTGACCAGAGGAGTTTGTCGGAGGGTGGAGGAGAGTCTAATAACGGTGGTGATGGTAGTGGCAGTGGTAGTGGTGATGGTAGTGGAAGTGATTTCTATGAAGATAACAATAACTACTGGAACAGCATTCTTAATTTAGTGAATTCTTCACCTTCTGATTCCCCTATGTTCTGATTGATAAGTTTGTGTTGGAGGTGTACGTGTGAATCACATATAGCATATTCCTCAAAGTTAAAAAGCCATTGGTTTTCCATATAGTGATTTTTGTTCATGGTTTAGCAGAGAGACTTTTCCTTGGAAGTATATGTAATTGTAATCGTCTGAAAAGCAATTGGGTACTCTTCCACCATCAAATGTTCATATCAATTTGTTTGGATTTGACTTTGATTTCAATTTCTGAATTATTATGGTTTTGTTAAGTAAAGGATATGTTTCTCTAGACAAACTGATGATAGATATTAGAGTGAGTATGTGAAATTGAGTGATTTTTAATTACCCGTAAGTAATTTTCAATGTTCAAACTGTGCAACAAAGGATCAAGAAAGGAAAGATTTATTACAGACTTTATTGCTGTTGGTTTTATGTCGCATTCTGGCTTTTCAAGATTTGTATTCAATGTTTATATCGATAAAAATTAATTTTCAGCACCCATTATTCGGTAGGGTGTTTTGAGCCTGGATTAGATTGGTTTTGAAGAAAAAATCATCCAATCAAATTCCTTCTCTTTAATCATTTAATCATCTATTCGAGTTAGATCTTATTTTAAAATCTGATCCAATCCAATCAAATTTTATTCAGTTTGAATTGGATCGATTTTTAATTTTTTGAAAAGTCTAAAATTTCAGCTCTACAAATTATTAGATATATCAAAATAAAGTCATACAAAGTTATAAATTACTGAAAAATGTAAGTCTTCAAACTAAAACAAATCTTAAAACTCATAAAAAGTTAAAATAGATTAATAGACAATAAAAAAACTAAAACAAGATAGTTTGCTATCAATAACATTCAACATCCAAGTCTACAAAACAACAAACAAGATTCCAAGCCACCATCTTTCAAAAATAATAGGAAAAAGTTCACCAATGTTCCTGTGGTTTGCTTCAGAATCACCTATGCCCTTGTGGTTTTTTTGATCACATATGCCCCTGTGCTTTGTAAAAAATAAAAAATCAGAGGGGCATATGTGATAAAAAAACATACCCTTTTGCAAACCACAGGAGCTATGTGATAAAAAAAAAATCACAGGAACATAGGCGATTCTGAAGCAAACCACAGGGGCATTGGTGAACTTTTCTCAAAATAACAAATACATAATATATTAGATCGGTTTGGATTGATCGATTTTCACCATCCAAACCGAAAACCGATCCAATCCAATTAAAATATATAATTTTTTTTTTCAATTTTTGATTTTCAGTTTTTGATTAATTCGGCTATCAATTTTTTTATCCGGTCATCACGGTTTGAATCGTTTGATGAAATCATTCTAAGAGTAAATTTATACAAATTCTAGATTTATCATACTTTTCTATTATCACAAATTCTAGTTTTTTTTTTTTTTTTTGTATATGGTTGAGTTTTCTTTCTCCTTTCTATTCATTTGCTCGGTTCTCATGTACTATATCAAGATGGAAACCAAACACATAAAATATTTGACTTTGGCTTTTACTTCTAAAAAAAGACAACAATTTTTTTATGCGGAATGTGCATATATAAAAAAACATGTAGATCTCTTTCAGCCAATAATATTAGATTAGCTACTATTTGGTGAGTCGGTAATATCTTAGAGCATGAAAAATGGTTTTCCAATCAAGCCCTCAGTCTGAAATATATACATCATAAAATTACACAAAATAGTTTACCAAAAAAAAAAAAATTACACAAAATGTACCAAATGAAAGTGGTAAAATAAGCATTCTACGTGAAGTTATAGAAAGCTTTGCAGTATATTAGGTTTTATAATTTTCTATGGATTCTCTCTGGTTAAAATATTTACAATTTTCTAATTATTCAATCAAAATCAAATATAATTAATAAGCTATTGTGTTCGTAACTAAAGATATATACTTAATAGATTAGACATATAATTTTGCTACCAGAAATTAAATTGAATTCACGAATAAGAAGCACAGTAAATTTTCACCTTTTTAAAAAAATAAAAATAAATAAACCTTTTCATTTTATATAATTCAACTTACATAAATTATATCCATAATCCAGCATAATTAGATAAGTGACTCCATCTAAGCCTAAATCGAATGATTCAAAGTTTTGTATTAATTTTGTGCTAAGCTTGAGCCTTTTCTTATTAGGCACATATCGTACTACCAGCATAGTTATACCAGTTATAAATATAAAAAAACTGTGCATGAAGTATTATCTACCAAGCTCCCATGTGCCCTGTTCCCCTTACTTTAATGACCCTTATATATTGTCAAGTCTGAACTCAATTGATCAAAATATTGACAAAAGGATGTCTTGCTATGGATGAGCAATTAATGAAAGTGGTGGCAATTGCAGTTAATGTCAGAAAATGGTGTTTTTTTTTTTTTCAATAGATAAATTTTGTAATTTTAAATCACAAGAGAAAATCTTCTACTAATTAAGGACCATGTTCACTTGTGTTATAATCTGTTAATTTCAACAAATTTTGGAATATTTTTCTTTGGGATAGGATCAACTTACACCGGTGTAAGAATAATAAATCTTACACCAAATCTTAATCGTTGATTTCCGTGCATCTAACGGTTGATATTTATTGGGAATTAAAAATCAATTAATGAGTGAGACTTAATAAATCTTAACCGTTAGATACAAAAAATCAATGGTTAAGATTTGGTGTAAGACTTATTAGTCTTACTGGTGTAAGATGAACCTGCCCCTTTTTCTTTTGTTTTTCCACAAATATATAAGTATTACACAAATCTCATGGTTAAGTTTACTGGAGAAATTAATCTATCAATGAGCTTGAGTTTATGTTACTGGGACAGATCATGAGTTTGTGCTAAGTCATGGATTCAATTCATGTCACAAAAGGCCACTGTGAGAAAGGAAAACACAATAACCCCTAGACATGCCTCTAAATAAAATCTTCAACTTATATATATATATATATATATATCATGTTGGTGCGAGACAAACTATATCTTGCTGCACTCCAAAACCTAACTTTCTCATTCTCTAAAGGAATACAAGACGCTTCTTATCATAAAAAATGTTCCAAGTTCTGTTCTTACAAAGAGAACAGTTTGAGGTTGCATCTCACTAAATACTATCATATATAAACAGGCCATGAAGTTGTACAGAATAGACTTGCTCTGTTCAAGGTTGGCATTCTTGTCCTCTTGCCTTGAGTTTAATGCATGTTAGTTGACAAAAAGACCACACAAATTTATAACTCAAAGGGAAATTCAAATTTTATATTCGAACTTTGGCAATCCTTATATATAAATGATAAATTGAAAGGAGTTGAAGGTTAATTTCCCAAAATAACAAAAAATTCAGATATGGGCATGTCACTCATGAGTCATGAGCACATTAACATTGACATAATTAGTATAATATGCATGGGGTGTCATTTGTAGAAGAGCTATGTCATTGACATATATACCTACATCAATTTATTTATATGATCTTATTAACTAATTTGTTTTAATTAATTAAAATCATATCATGTAATTGTTTTTTTTTTTGGGTAAATATATCATGTAATTGTAACTAGTATTATTGTGCAAGTGTAGTGCAAGAAAAGATTGCACAACCCAATGGGTGCAGCTCAGTTGGTAATTTGGCGCTGAGTTAGTGGGGTTGGATATGTGTTTGATTCCCGCTGAATGCATTCTTGGGGAGTGGGCTGAACCTTTAGCCATCATTGTTCCCCCGCACTCCGAATTAGTCTCATAGCCGGCTCAAAGAGTCGAAGCTCGTGGGGATACGGAGGGAGCCAACTCGTCTCAAAGAGATAATTAGGATTGAGTAACTCCAAAAAAAGAAAAGATTGCACATTATTTGCACTGAAAATATGGTATGGATGATGGAGGCACGTTTTTATAGTAGGATAAAAAAAAATTGGCTGAAGGGAAGATATGCTATTAATTTGCCTGAAAAAGAAATATTGTTCGATCTTGGTTGTCCAATAAAGTAATTGCCAATATGTTTACCAAAAAAAAAAATATATATTAATTGCCAATATGGTCCCCCATCTTTAGTTTGATCCCTTGCTCTGCTGAGAGCTGACCTATACTTTTGGAAAATTGCATATAAAACATATGCAAATGAAAGACATGGACGAGAGACTTTGATGGATATATGGCAGAGAATTACATTTATTTCCAGCAATAAGTGAATCCACGATTTTAAAAGGCAAAACTTGAAGCAACAGTAAAATTGTTGTTTGCATAGATTTAAAATACTTAGTGTATTTTTAGTCATCTGAAATTTGAGAACACAATACTTTCTTAAAAGTTTCAAATATTTAATTATGTCTAGAGAAAAAATAATAATTACTTATCTAGCTGTTAGCATTTTTCTCTGCTACTAATTATGGATTAGTTTAATAAGTGCATTAGTTTTCATTTTATATATTTCAAATTTATATTTTTTGAATCATGTTGAAAAACTATTTTTGTTTGTTTTCCTTCGAAAAATAGAAAAATTAAACATTAAATGTCAACACCTCGGGATTGATTATTTTCATACTTTTTTTTTGACGAAATATTTTCATACTTTTTAACAATGGTAAAATTTACTCAATCCAATAATGAATTAAGGGTTCTGAAAATTAATTTTGTACATTTTTTTTCTAAAACTTTATTTTACTTTTTGTTGTTAGAAATGATGACAAACATGATTACGTATGAACAAAATAATCATATTATTGTACTAAAAAAATAATAATAATCATATTAAAAAGTCATGTCCTGCTTTTCCAAAACGTATATATATTTTTCTTGTAAAAAAAAAAAAAAAGGTATTTCTTTCATATTTATAATGGACCAATAAATGCTTCAATACAAATGTTTGGACAACAATGCATGCTTTTGCAGGAAAATATTTTTTAGTAATACAAATTTTGCAGCAGTTCTGGTAGAGAAATACAAAATTGAGAAACATCACTGACAAATCCACACTTACAAAATGCCTTACGTTACGTTGCATCTCAAATTTTCCAACCAACCCAGGATTTCATTGCTTCATTCAATCAATACGATGAGGTGGTTGACTTTTTCAGCCACAAATCAAGATGATGTGGCAAATTCATTTAATTGCTTAATGGTTGTGGTCCAAGCTTGAGAATAATTTTTACATTCCAGTCGGGTAGAATCACATGTATCAATGATAAAGTTTTTTCTAATAAATTTTAACATAATTGTATTTTTAAGATTTAAACTCGAGATTACTGATTAAACTGAAATAATTATTTATTAATTAATCTCCATGCTTGGTTATAATATTTACTTGTTATATTACACAGGTTATTCAATTAGTTACACAATTACAAATTAAGCAGGTTGCCTTTTAATCTTTTAGCAAGAGAGAACAAGTCATTCTGT